TAAATCAAAGAAGTTTCACTGTCACAAAAAGGTAATGACTAACTCAAATTAAAAAAATAAAACACTTAATGTTGTAAAATCTACTCATATAATTTCGTTCAGAATCTAATACCTAGGTAAATTGGTAGCGATGTTAGATATTTGTTGTAATTAATAATATTAATCGTTGGGTCTTGAAACTTTTCCACCACTACMTAATTATTATAACTATACACAATTAAATATTCAAAATATATAGATTCAATTTATTATTGGCAAAGATTAAATTCCATCTACCTACTGCATTATAGTTAAAAAAATATTTATATACCTCAGCAGTATGATTATAATATAATATAATATACTTATATTATATTGAGCTTTTTTAAAGGCCCATCTCTAATGAGTGTAGAATCGATTTTCGTAGGTTGCATACATATGATTTATCATTGAATTCAAATTTAACACATCCAATACAATTAACAGAGACATTTATTGATTATGATGAGGTACCTCGACTTCAACAGAGTGTCATCAATGATTTTTAATAGATCAAATTTAAAGATGTTCAAATACTATAGGATATTATATATAATATATTTTTACTTTATCGATTTTTTACTCGGTTGGTAAATATTATTTTACTTTATAACAAGAAACTATAGAAACATAATTAGTTTTATAATTATTGTATTTTGTGAGATTGACATCATTTTAATAATAACTTTTTAATTAGTATTACTCCGTGGTTTTCTTAGAAATATGTGATTTAATGTTAATATGATTAAAATAGTTGAAATATTAATTAAATATTATGTTGAAAATTGTATTAAAAAAAAAAAAAACAAGAGAAGTCACTGTAGGTTTCAAATGTACTTTTTCGTTGAATAGGTTTATGTAACAAGTTTWTTAAATTTGAATTTAATTAAAAATCGTTGTATACGAAACGAAATACAATTTTATCCCATTTGGTACCAGAGACCACCCTCAAAAGAGGATTGAGGATTAAACCTTATAAGAGTGAAGTATTTGATATCAATATTACCTCAATAGCATTGGTGACAATAATAATAAATGTTATAAGCGTTACGAAGATCGATCAGAAAAAAAAATTTAGCCAGCACAAAAACATATTTATGCTAAAAACACACATAAATGTTAAACCAAGTCATCATTCATCGATATACTCAGAATCTAATATAAAAAATAATTTAATACATTGTCGACGAAACCAATGTTTAAATTTGTTAGCTAYCTATATAAATCGTTTATACATAATATGTAAATCTCATAACACTAAAATCTATACATTCTTTAATATATACATAATACATTTATATAAAACATGTTACAATATAATATGCAGATATTATTGTGTACAAATATATACATATAGGTACTTATATACCTACGATGAGTCGTTTTCCCGTACCACGTGCTATCAGCATTACATTTTCGATCAGCGCCGTGTTGTCGGAATAAATACGAGTACACATGTGAGAATTTATTTTTATTTTTTTATCATCTTATACCTACCGATTTTAATAATTAGCGTTTATTATAAATTGGAATATAAATGCATATAATGCACTACACCAATTGATTGCGTACAATAAAAGATACCTACTTGATCTTTTCGACTGCATAATAAATTTTTATCGTTAATTGCACATGAAAATGAAACGAAAAGAAAAGGGATATTGCAAGGGAAAGCGCATCGTAAAATTATAAAAACTTTAGTCGTTTCTACAATGTGTCCCAAGGGGGATGGGTATGCGTCATTAGAAAATATTTCTGAAAATATCGAAAATATCACTCATCAGGAGTATATGCGTTTTTTTATTTGTTTAGTTTGCATTTACATTTTTACTCATTAACTGAAATTTTTTTTTTAATTTTTCTCCCAACTATTTAAATCCAACATTTTAGATTAATTTTTCTATTTCTTTTTTTAATGCTATTGTTTGTTCTTTTTTTAATGCTATTTTTTTGCTCTGTTTATAGACATACAATATACAAAAATTGATCAAATGTAGTACAACATTTTTTTAAAATAATTAAAAGAAGAAAATTAAATATATTTAAAAAATAAATAATAACTTCGGGTTGAAATTTCATATGACCTGATCACTTCGTTTTTTTCGATGGGATGAAAATGAAGTGTTCACATTGCACTCGGTAATCACAGGCTATGTTAGAATTGCGCACTCGATCCGATCAATTTGGAAGTTTATAAAATATTTTAGGTAGTTGTCAATGTGTGTGTGTGTGTGTCGATTTATTTAGTCTAAATACGCGTCGTTATTATTTCAAGTTATAACGACGTAGGTAACTAATAATATTATTAATTTAGGTATAAAACATTGATACATATTTGTATTTATATAACTTATGTACCTAATAATATTTATATGCAGCAGGACACATTTGAATACAATTAATTAATTATTATAGTTTCGTGCTTTTTACCTTCGACGAAAATCCTGGCTGCTACCCGGCAAGTAATCAGGGCGAGTGTCGCCACTAAAAGCTCCAGCCGATGAYGACCCATCATCATGACGGCGGCGTGGCGCGATGAGCGTTATATTGCCTATGAGCTGTGATTGACGAGGGGACAGTGCAGTGATCGAGAACAATATAATAATACAGTTTGCTCGACGTTATTTTAAAATATAAACGTTGTGGGCGCGTAATAAGTTATGTTCACGTCGCGTGCCGCCTGTGCAAATGATTGTGTTATATTAAATATCGAAACTCGATAGTTCAAAAAAACTWCTGTTCAAATTCGCACTCGAAACGATGGGGAAAATCAAACGTCGGACTGACTTCGCTTATATTATCGTGTATAGAGTTACCTACGTATCRCCGGTACCAAGCGGATCGCAGTTCTGTGACGATTCGTTCGCGTCCGAAACCGATCTTTCGTATTAACCCACTCCAGCGGCGCATATAGTATAGTACTTACGCGGACGCGGTACAACGACTAGCGCCTTCCACCTCCCACCAGCGCCACCGCCGTTGCCAAGGAAGCGCACGCCGATTTGGACGGAATACCGCGGAGGAACGAAAATGATAATGATAATACTAATAATCCCGAAGAAAAATCAACGAAATCCGTTCTCGTGACGACAATTCGGGGTGGGGGTGAAACAGWGGAATTCGCCCCCGGGAAGTAAACTGTTCGTAATTTTGTATTATTTTACTTCTTCCTRCGTCAACGGTGCAGCAGTCAATGACGATATGAAGTATGAAGACCGCTCTATATAGGTATAATATAGGTATTCGTACTATACTGTAATAATAATAATAATATTATKTAATAACAGGACTTCTCGCCGAGTCCGCGTCTGGAACTTTTTTCTTATAAATATTTTACAGACACGAGAAACACGCATTTCAGGAATACATATAGTAGCATATTTGTAAAATTAWTAAATACGTAAATTATTAGCTATTATATAATAATATCCGTCCTTTAAAATGTTATTTTCTAATAGAATATGCACTGAATAGTGAATACTGAAAAATATATAGATATAAACACGCATGATTTCCTAAGATGAATAAATTTCATTTTAATTCAATTTTAACGTTTTGTAAGAATAAAATTAATAATAAAGTACCTTTTTTTCTTCTTCCCATTTTTGAAACCGGGAACGAGTGGGAACTGTTTAGCACAATACTGCCAATAATAAAGTACCTGTAATTATTAATTATACAAAACATCAAATAGTTTGTAATATCTTCATGTCTTCAGTGAAAAAACTACAAAGTGTGAATAAGTTCGTCTACATGCATTTTCTGAATACTTTAATATTTATATCCATATTATATAGGTAACTCTGATATGTTATTCAGTAACAGAGAAGCATATTAGTTATTAGTCCAAACCTGCCATCATGCCCACATATATGCATAGCTATAAATTCGTACATACATGCATACATACTGTAAAATAGATGATTCGCGGTTATGTATACATGAACTTGGAAGACTAAAAACACCCTGTATGTGTATATTTAACTTTTTTATGTATTACAAACCACGTTTTAATAATATATAATCCATGCGTGGATTTCTTTACGCACTCGAGCGCTTTGGGTATGAGATGCGTATGTTGGTATGTTTAATAATATTTAAAAATATTATGTATACGGTAGGTAAACGCGTGCACACATCACATAGTATACCTGTGCATATCATTACATAGGTTTACTGCCCGAAGGTGACTACCGTCCGATTACACGGTGAATACTGTATAATCTATTGATATAATGCATTATAATAATGTGTTTGAATACCTATATTTACTTGTCTCGTGTCTATCTGCTACTATTGGTCGTTAATTTACAGCTGATAACAGATTGTAGTGCTGCTCAAATGATGCATACGCATCACGGAGTTTATAGATTTTTGGTCTTTAAACGCCTCTCTTCACATTCACCATCGCCATCGTCCACAATACTTGTTAGCGATATCTTAAATGCCATCGAGTTTATCGCGATGCGTTTCAGTTATGTATAATTAATATAGAGGGCTTTTTTAACAATAACACCTATAGTGTATTAAAAAAATAGTGTTCTTTTTAACGATTGATGATACTATGATAGCAACATTTATCGATCAACCATACTACATACAGAATAACATAATTATATATATGTAATAATAACTCTGTCGACTGTGACCAATGACCATACCATACCTAACCTACCGTTGCAACCATGGTGTAGAGTCACTCTACTAGAGTGTAGACGGTAGACCAAGGTGTACCACAATTTATTATGCGCTCTCAACTAGGTTTATTTTCATAGATTTTGTCAATAATACTTGACCTCAGGTTAAAGCGTGAATTAAAATATCATTAATAAGTCACTCAATCATACAACTATAGGTACTCAGCGTTTCAGCTCACCTAAATCGAATAGATAATAATACATAGGACGATGATCCATATATTTAAATACAAAGATACTTGTAATTAATTATTATGAATAAAAATAAGCATATCATAAGCCGAAAAATTTAACAACGTAATGAATATATATTATACATGCAAATATTGTTTTTTAATAACTTCAWATAATAAATAAATAAAAAGATTTTCAAAAATTTTGATACTTTTTGGAATAATGCATGTTAGCGTATTGTGTATACTGTATAATACTGTTAAAAAATAACTCTGTATTATTACTTATAATATATTAAAATATAATACTTATATATAACTCGTAACAGTTGTGAAGTTTTGATACATGCTTGGATTGTTTTCGTTCGAGAGTATACGTGATATACCGGCCTCCAAATTATTGTAATGAAATAACATTGGAATTAGTTAATTGTAAATCGTGGATATTAATATTTTAATATACAAACCGTGTGTGTATTGACCCGCGAGACACTCGCCAATGATCAATAACGATCATTAAAGTCAATGTAAATGTAGACCTAAATGAGCCAGAGTGGTTTGCTATAAAGACACCCTCTCTTTTTCTCAACTCAATTTTTTCTTGGCGTTTATATAGTGTATATTACAGCTGTACATACCTACCTATATATATAATATTAAAAACATTTTTTTTTTTTTT